GGGTTGAGGGTATAGGGTTTCGGGTTTAGGGTTTAGAGGTTTGGGGTCGAAACCCCCAACTCCATGGAGCACTTGAAGTCCTGTGTACTCCACTGAAACATTAAGAAACAACAGTTTGCTTCCATCCCTATAGAACCCACTTTGAAAAACCTGAAGAACCACACACCCTAAACCACTTACAGGATTCCCATGGAGCCCTAAAAGAACACGTTTCCATAATAATAAGACTAAGACTAGTAATTAGCAGTTTAGTAGTACCACCTGTTTGAAAGCTGAGGCACCGTAGGCCAAAGCTGATGCCCCTCTTACCGGGCCGACGCCGAAAAGCAAAGCTAGCTGGAATCTCGGGAATCTCCAAGGAAGGGCTTGCAGTCTCCTGGGCACGGGGTTCTTTTTGCAAGGGCAACGAAAATCGGCTTTTACACTGGTTGGATCCTTTCAATGAGCGACAACCTACTATTTTGTACGGTGTGGGTTTGGGGGTTCATGGATGCGGGTTGTAATCGGGTTCAGGGACTTGAGACTTAGGGTTTAGAGTTTCTTTCCGGTTTACCCTAAACCCTAAACTTTCAACCCTAAACCCTGAACTTTCAACCCTAAACCCTAAACTTTCAACCCTAAACCCTAAACCCCACACCCCGAAACTTTTAACCCTAAACCCTGAACCCTAAATCCTATTCTTTAAACCCTAAACCACTCAGAGGATGTCGGAACTTGGGGCTTAGCGCCTTTGGGATTCTGAGGTTCAGGTTTTCGGGCCCAGGATTTAGGGTTTAGGGGTTTAGGGCCCAGGGTTCAGGGTTTAGGGTTTAGGGTCTAGGGTTCAGGTTTAGGGTTTAGGGTTTAGGGTTTCGGGCCCAGGGTTCAGAATTCATCTCCTGCAAGCTGGGGAGTACCTAAGCACCGTCTCGATATAAGAGCTTCAGAAAATGTAAGGCGAGAGTATACAGACAACACAAACCCCAAACCCCAAACCGGGAACCCTACACCCTAAACCCCGTTGTTGAATGCAGCTCCCATATCAGACCTAGTCTCCGGTTTCATAGCAAGCAAGATGTCCGTTCGCGTAGCCAGAATTTGGGCAACGCCAACCGTGAAGTCCACCTTTAACGGGTTTGAGGGCTTGTAGAGCTTAAGCTTTTGAGCTAGGGTTCAGGGTCCTGACAGTGGCTGAGAGTATTAACCATTAACTGAGGTTGCAAATTAAACCCTAAACCCTAAACCCTAAGCCCTAAACCGTTGTAGATGGGGGGCTCTCCCGCAGGTTTAGCAAAATTGAGTGTGCTTAGCTCGTTAAGTACATACGTGTGAAGGATTTGGGCCTTCGCAGTCTTGCGCTTAGGGTTTAGGGTTTAGGGTTTAGGGTTTAGGGTTTAGGGTTTAGGGTTTAGGGACAGAGGATGATGCAGGTAATATAGGGGGCCTTCATCATTAGAATTGGGTTTTGGGGTATATTCTACTGAATTATACTATATATAGAATAAGGAACCCCAAAAATAGTGTAGGGAATTATTTAGGCCCCTACATTACCGGCAAAGTTTCGAAAGTAAACCTCATGACAAGAGACCCCCACCTGAGACAGGAGACCTGACATCGTCCAGTGAGGGTGATAGATGTCTGCCGGCTTATGATATTCGGACTGGATGTACCTGGGTTCTTGCTCAGGAACTGGAATGAAACTTATCATAATGAAGAAACCCTATTATTGACTCCATTATGGTAACTGAAACCATTAAGCGCCTTAGCAAGAGCCAGGACACCTACCGACGACCTCTTCGTAGTAGCTGCTGGGCTTCCCGATGAAGTCCCGACCAAAGAAGAACCAACAGCCAGGAACACCTGGGTTCTTCTGGCAGGCCCCAAAAACACTCGAAATGTTCGTCCTTCTTAAGACTATCCTGTACACCAACCAAGAATAAGGAATTCTCTCATTATTGCTTTATATTATACTGTACCACAGCTGATCCTAAACCCTAAACCCTAAACCCTAAACCACAAACAAAAAAGCGCCCGAGACACCCCTCCGTACGAAGCTCCAGTGATCGCTGCGGAAGAAGAGGCCCATCTTCGGCTGCAGGTCGGGGACCAGGGTGAGGC